AGGAAAATATATACAAATGAAGGACATCATATTGAGTGAGACAAGCCAAGACCCAAATATCTCAAGATGCTGGTAGTTCAAGCCTATAATTCTAGCTACTCAGGAGGCTGAGATCTGAGGATCATAGTTTGAAACCAGCCTGGGCAGTAAAGTCTTTTATTTCCAAGTAAAATACAAAATGGAAAAAGCTGGAAGTGGAGCTATGGCTCAAGTAAGGGATAGCATCCAGGCCCCTGCTAAATTCAAGTTCCAGTACTAGAGTGCACACACACACACACACACACACACACACACACACACACACACACACACAGAGTCATGTTTTCACTCATATGGGGAAACTAAATATTAAAGACATAATATATATTTGTGGACATCTACATACATACATATCCACATACATGATTATTTATATGAATAAAATATGTGAGAAAAACTGTCTTTTGTCGGTCATGGGGCTTGAACTTGGCCTGAGTGCTGTTCCTCAGCTCTTCAGCTCGAGGCTAGTGCTCTACCACTTGAGACACAGCACCACTTCCAGTTTTCTGGTGGTTTATTGGGACAAGAGTCTCAGCCAGGCGGCGGTGGCTCATGCCTGTAATCCTAGCTATTAAGGAGGCTGAGATCTGGGGATCATGGTTCAAGGCCAGCCCAGGCCTGAAAGTCCATGAAATTCTTATCTTCAATAAATCACCAGAAAACCAGAAGTGGCGCTGTGGCTCAAGTGGTAGAGTGCTCACCTTGAGCTAAAGAGCTGAGGGACAGCGCCTCAGCCTATAGTTCAAGCCCCATGACTGACAAAAAAAAAAAAAGAGAATATTACCTAGAAATGTCTCATGGACTTTCCTGCCTGGGCTGGCTTTGAACTGTGATCCTCAGATCTCACCCTCCCAAGTAGCTAGGATTACAGGGGTGAGCCACTGGTAGTCGGCCTAAAAACTGTCTTTTCTATTAAACTGTATTGCTTAAAGGTTGCTGCTTTGGCTTGGTGGCTTGACTCTTATTAAGAAAATGAGGAACTGCTTTGGGGTAAGAAAGAATTTGTAAAATGTAAGGTCTGTCCTTTTTGAGATGGAATCAGGAGATGCCCCAGACGATACAAAAAATAGCTGAGGATATGGAGAGATTTTGAGATTACTTGTGAACTGTTATCCTTATTTCGAAGTCACCTATGTAAATACTTTTTTTTTTTTTTTGCCAGTCCTGGGGCTTGGACTCTAGGCCTGGGCACTGTCCCTGAACTTCTTCTGCTCAAGGCTAGCACTCTACCACTTGAGCCATAACACCACTTCTGGATTTTTCTGTGTATGTAGTACTGAGGTATTGAACCCAGGGCTTCATGCATGTGAGACAAGCACTCTACCACCAAGGCACATTCCCAGCCCTGTAAATATATTTGATCCTATTCAGACTAGCTACCTGTGACCAGATTGTGAACATGAGCTCAACCAATCTGAGAAGCAGAGCCTGCTGGGTTAGGAATAAATACCTGAGCACACTGCCTGTTCTGTGTGCTTGTTGGCTGATGATACTCCCTTCTGCACAGAAGTAAATTTTGCCTTCCTGAGACAATTCTTTATTTTCATGTCTATTGTGACTCCAGTGGTTCTTGGGCAGCATATTTATAACACATAGAACCTGAATTGAACAAAGAGACCACTTAGGAGAAGGGGAAAAAGAAATATATAGCAAGTATAGATGAAAACAGTGTAAAGAACCTGAGTGAAAGCTGCTGATAGAAAGATGGGGGTAGAGAAAGAGAAAGAGACTGGGAGGGGTCCTAGTGGGAGGGGGATGGAGAAAAAGGAAGATGAAGGTGATTGAATATAATCAAAATAGATTTGCAACTATAAAAGTAGAACAATGAAACTTTTTGAAATTGTTTTACGGAAGCCAGGAAGGGAACAGGGAGAGTGACAGAAGGGAAGAAATTTAACGGAAGACATTATAAATATGTAAGTATAACAATGAAATTCCTGTGTAACTAATGTAAGCCAATTTAAAAAAAAACGTAATTGGCTGGAATAACAATGAAAAGGAAGCATTGGGAAAAAGGACTGTTCTCAAGCATGGAGCCAGCACCCACCCTACTTCACATTTCATCACAATGAAGGGTGCGTGTCATCTCTGAGTGTGCTGGGCAGATGCACGCAGAAGAGAAACACCTGTGTCAGAGGAAGCAGAAGAGAGCTAAGGACCCACACTCCATAATCCACCCACTTTGGTAGGCACTACATTAATTCCTCTGTGAGGATCCAGCTCCATGACCTCTCATCATCTCCCTCTTCAGGGTTCTATAACTTCTCAACAATGTTACATTAGAAATTAAGCGTCAAGATGAGTTTTAGTGGGGATAAACCACATCTAAACCATTGTAGCCAGGTAAACAAAACATCCAGAAATGAGAGCAATAACCATATAGTTACAATCAAGGGAACATCTTTCCTTCCATACTGATGAAAATAATGTTGGCTTGTTGGCATCTTACTTTTTACGTATTTGTTCGTTTGGTCATTCTTACACTCACCATCACATATTGAATTGTTCCTGGTTGTTTATCATTCTGCTTAGTGGGCTTTGGGTATGTAGAAATGAGCCAAGAAATATGTACTGGATTCTACCAAGTGCCTCAGAGTGTTCTAGGTGTTGGTGACATATATATATATATATATATAAATATATATATATAAATATATATATATTTAATCTGGTGATTTGTTAATTAGAGCAAAAGGCATGATATGTTTAAATCAGCTCAGAGTAAGCCAACTGCAAAAGAGGTCCTATTTTTTTATGCTAGTACTGGGCCTTGAACTAAAGATCTAGTCACTCTTAGCTTTTTTACTCAAGGCTTGTGCTCTTCCAGTGCAGCCACAACTCCACTTTTAGCTTTTTGGTGTTAAATTGGAGATTCTCACAGACTTGCCTGCGTGGGTTAACTTCGGACCACAATCCTCAGGCCTCAGTCTCCTGAACAGCTAGCCACTAGTATCTGGCACGAAAAATGTTTTGATAGTCAAAGGGAGAGATGTATGACTTTGTATGTTATAAAGCAAGGTTAGTGATTGGGTATATTGTTTACTATAAGATAGCCAAATTTGAAACTTTTTGTATTCAAATATTATAGGAAAAAGGCATAGGAATAACAAGAAAGGTGGAGATTTGGGCAAGTTCACAGAGAACAAAACAATTCCTTAATCCTTTTTTCCAGGCATACTTTCATCAAATTCCAAATTCCAGCAAGTTTTATAACTGAGCTATAAAGAGTTCTGCAATGATGGGCTGGGATTGTGGCTTTGTGGTAGAGTTCTTGCCTAGTATGCATAAAGCCCTGGGTTCCATTCCTCAGTACCACACAAACAGAAAAGGCTGGAAGTGGTGCTGTGGCTCAAATGGCCTTGAGCAAAAGAAGCCTTTGGATAACAGGCAGCCAAGTCTCCAGGCTTGGTTTGCTGTCTGAGTTGCTTCAGTGACATAAAATACTTGAAAACTGGAAAGAAAATTTATGTTCTCTGATGCTTTTAATTTTTTTTTGGGGGGGGGGGTTCTGGTCGTGGGGCCTGAACTCTGGGCCTGGGCGCTGTCCCTCAGCTCTTCAGCTCAAGGCTAGCTCTCTACCACTTGAGCCAAAGCGCCACTTCCGGCTTTTTTTTTCTTTTTGCTTATGTGGTGCTGAGGAATCGAACCCAGGGCCTAATGCATGCAAGGCAAGTGCTCTACCACTGAGCCACCTTCCCAGCCCTCTTAATATTCTTTAATGAAAATAATTTAAGACAATTTAGTACATTTTTCCTGTTTTGGTACTTGAGATCGAAACCAGGACGCCGCAGTTGCTAGGCATGAGCCTTGCCACTGAGCTATGTCCCAGCCCAATGAAGTACATTTTAAAGAAAAGTGCTATTGACTTAAGTTGGAGTTTAGGTGGTAGCGCCTTATTCATTCAGAGATATATTAGATATTTGTTCGCAGGAACAAACATTGAACTAGTTAAGCAGTTCAGTCAAGTTTCCAACGTTCTCAAGTGTGCCCAGGCAAACTGGTTCATTTTTTAGGAGACTTTCTCTTCAAATTCTAATCGTGTATAGGGTACAGATGGTGTCATGCACTATTCCAAAACTTTCCATGAGATAACCTCACAAAAAACCCCTGGAATTGCCATCATCATTAGCACTTAACCTAGGGGAGCACTTGGGTTAGAGAGGCAGAAATCTGGCTTCACAGGTTGAGGCTGCTCTTAGTGTTTGGGGTTGCTTTCCTAAACCAAGTGACTAATTGTCAAATTCTGAAAAACCAGTTTAATGAAAGATACCAATGGATCAAAAAGGCATGGCTAATGAACTTCATTATTGCGAACAGTTCCAGTGGTGTGGGTAGGCCCCTCAGAATAAGCTCCTAAAGCCACCCTTTTCTGGGGAGTCATGTGGGAGAGGGCCAGGCCTGCTAAAGAGAATGGCACCTGGGGGTTTCCTAGACAGGAAATCTCTAGCCCAGCGGCGGCATATGGAGTATGGGGGTGGGGTGGGAGAGTCTCATTTTCTGAAAAGACAATTTTTTTTTTTTAAATTTGGGGCCTGGATAAGGGGTTAAATGCCATTAGCTCTTCGTTTCATTTCAATCTTTCCAGCTTGTTCTAATTTTGCCTCTCCGGGGCTTTTCCTCCATATTATAAAATCTGCTGATGAGTCCCTTCTCGCTTTTTAATCCCTTCGGAGGTAGGTGGCAGCAAACCACATTTCCAACACCGAACGAGCCTGTTCGTTCTCTTTCCAGCCAGGGTCCGCCGGAGGGCGTCTGGGAAGGGGTTAATCGGGCGGGTGGGTGGGGTGCCGGGAGCCGGGTTCACACCTTTCCCAGAGACCTCGGGCGGTGGGCGGTGGGCGGCGGCGGCGGCGCCGGCGGGGCCCGGGCGGGGCGGAGGCTGAGGCCTGACTCGTCGGCGAATAGCAGCGCGCTGCCCGCCCGGATTGGAGGCGCAGCATCACGCTGCCCTCGCCCTGGGGGGCGGGGGGGGGGGGGGGGGGATGTAAACCTCGCCGGCCGCAGCGGGCACCAGAAGGCTGTCAGCTCCTCCGGGAAAGCCAACTCATCTCCCCAGCTCCGAGCAGTCTATCCCGGCGGGCGATCGGCAGCGGTTGCCGGCCGCCACCTCGACCTCCGCAGCGCCCAGTGGCGGCTGCGGGAAGCGGAGGGAACCGGACGCGGACGCGGACGGGGAGCCGGGGAACCGAGGAGCCGGGGACCGAGGAGCCGGGGACCCGAGGAACCCGCGTCCGTCCGTCCGTTCGCACAGGCAGCGGGAGACGAGGGGCGGCGCGAGCCATGGCCGGGGACAGCGAGCAGACCCTTCAGAACCACCAGCAGCCCAACGGCGGGGAACCCTTCCTGATCGGCGTCAGCGGGGGCACGGCCAGCGGCAAGGTACGGCGGGGCCGCGCTCCCCTCCTTCCCTCCTCCCCGGCCCGGGCCCCGCGGCGGCGCATGTGGCCGCGGGCCGTGTCAGTTGCAGCAGCCACCGCGTGGCGCGCGCGCCTCGGCTCACGGCCGCGTCCTGGCTCTGGGGGGCGCCGCAGGATGGGGGCCCTGGATGGATGGCGGGGTGGGTAGGGATCGGCGAGCGGAGACCTGGGAGACCCGAGCCGTGGAGGGTCCTGGGGGTACCTGGCCGCGATCTCAGGGCCGGCGCGCTCCCGGCGGCTGGAACTCGTGGCCAAGGTCCTGTGGGGGATGGGCAGCAAAAGCGGATGCTTTGCTGTTTTGCAAGTCCAGAGCATGGAAGCCTTTCCTCTGTCTTCTCTCCCCCACTCTATAAGACCCCCCCCCCCACCAATCCCCCCCCCCCCCCCGCCCCGTGCGCCCCTTCTCCCGGCCTCGTTCCGATCTGCTCGCCCCGCGGCGCAGACAGGCTGGCTAAGGGCGGAGCGAGCCGGGACGCCTGACCCCGGAGGGTTGGCGAGGGTGGCGGGAACGCGCGAGGCGGCGTCCCCGGGGAAGGGGAGCCCATCTGGGGGATTGCAGGGCTTTCCGGGGTAAAAACCGGAGCCTCCCGCTAGGTGCGGCGACACTCCCGAGTGGATCGTTGGCGCTTCTAACCTCTCCTGATTGAAAGAGGAAATGTGGTTGGCTTCCATGAGAAAGTTGTGTACTGGCTCGGTGCTCTGGGCGTCTGCGTCTTAACGCGTCTTGACTCGAAGAAGAGGGTTCCCCGCGTGGGACTTTCTTAGCAGCCTCTTTGTTTTAAATCCGCCAGGCTGGAAGGGACGTCCGGTCGTAATCTCGTTTTTATTTGTGTTTTTCCCCCTCGCAGGTGAAGGGTGGAGCCCTCCCAGATGGTTCTTTTCTTTTACTGTCCTGTCTTTTCTTAAGATGGGGCTTCTCGTTGCCCCTGCCGTTTAGAAGCCTCCAAGTTGACCCAGAGCTCGGGCCCCACGAGGGGAGCCAGAGGGAGCGGGGCGCTGCGTGCTGCCGGGCTGGGGAGGCGCAGTGATGCCCCCAGGGTTGGGGAGCGCGGAGCAGGAAGGCTGGTTGGCGCCATGAGGAGCCAGCCACGAGGTTTTGGCTTCCCTGGCTGACTCCTCCGTGGGCCCCTCCTCCATTTTGCTTTTATATTTTCCCCTCCACGCCTGCACTACTTTGGCACCGAGGGCCCAGACGCGATGGCTGGCGCTGTGGACCTCCTTTCGTGATTTAGTTAATCTCATTCCTAGCTTCCGTTGATAGGAATCTGTGCTTTCTTTAGGGCTCTGAAGTTTATGTTCCATTTGATCCCTCCCCCCCCTCCCCCCCCCCTCCCCCCCCCCCCCCCCAGTAAATTTTGGAATGTGTTCTTTACTAGTTCTAGTAATTCAAAGCAAAACTAGGTGTCGTTCCGGGAAACTTTACCTATCTTTTTCTTTTTTTAAGAATTATTTCTGACCTGTTTTCATAACATTCTTGTTGTATGGGGACCTTTTTTCTTCATTGCTGTATTCCCAGCTCTAGGCCTGGTGTATATGTCTAGCCCGTCTGTGAGGGAAAAGAGGAGTGGAGCATTTGGAAAGCGTGAACTTGATAATCTAAATAATTTAGTCACCACAGAAGCGAAAAGTGAGACAAAAAAAGGTGAAATAGCTCCACTTTCCTTATTCCTGTTAACCTGTGGTCAGTTGGTAATGAGTATTCATTTTGCATATTACTTGTGTACATGTGGAATGGGTGGTCACTTTGGGCCTTTATGGTAGTAGCTAATTCTTACAACAGAAAACAGCAGGGGACTTCCAACAAAGGAAGTGTTGGTTTGCTTGCAGTCTCAAAGCATGCTGTTCATTTTGGTAATATGATATAGTCTGTTACCATTTAAAAGTTTTATACATACTGGTAGCCTCCTGTGAGTGTTAATGTAATCCCAGTACTAGGGAGGCTGAAGCAGGAGGATCAGGAGTATAAGGCCCATCTGGGCAAGTTCTAGGCTACTCTGTGTTGTGTAGAAGACCCTGATCTAAAAAACAAAACAAAGCCTGGTGTGGGTAGCTCACGTCTGTAATTCAAGCTCCTCCAAAGGCTGAAATCCGAGGATTGCCATTCAAAGCTGGACAGGAAGTTTGTGAGACTCATCTCCAATTAATCACCAAAAAGCCTGTAGTTCAAGTAGAATACTAGCCATGAGAAAAAAAAAAAGCTTAGGGACAGTAGTAGGCCCTGAGTTCAAGCCCCAGGACCAGCAGGACCAAATAACAACAGAACAAAATTTTAAGGAGAATTGAATGCCTTAAATTCCAACTTGCAGTTATTTGGCTGTAGTTATATTTTGCCTTTATTATTCTGGCATTATTACCTTTCCACTGAGGAGTGGAAGATTGTTTTCCCCCTTTGGTGGTGAGCATGAATACACTACCTCCTGTGGTAGTGGTGCAGGAGGGGCTGGAAGGAAGGCAGGTTGATAATCAATATTCTGGTTAAAGGAATTTGGCATAAGGCAGGGTGAAGAGCATCGTTCACACCTGAGTTTTAGAGCTAGAAGGAACCTCAGCCTCTAAAGTACAGCAGTCATATCACCACTTGTTTTTGCCAGTCCTCGGGCTTGAACTCAGGGCCTGGGCACTATCCCTGAGCTTTTGCTCAAGGCTAGTGCTCAACCACTTAAGCCACCATGCCACTTCTGGCTTTTTCTGTTGATGTGGTACTGGGGAATGGAACCCAGGGCTTCATGCATGTTAGGCAAGCACTCTATCACTAAGCCACATTCCAAGCCCACCACTTTTTGTTTTTTGGTATTGCTGTGGGTCTCACCAAAGGGCTTACATGTGCACTGTCATCGTTGTAGAGGAGAAAAATGAGGCCTGAATTAGTAATGCATTGAAATCATGTAGTAAGTGGCAGAGCTAGGACTAGACCAGTGCTTCCTGTTGGTTTAAGAGCTAAGACCCAAGGGCACTTAACAGATTTTTTTGCGGACTTGGAAATAGTTGTGAATGAATGTTTACAGGTTCTTAACCCAAAGGAACAGGAATGCAGGTTCCTTTGTAACTTTATGGATCTGGATTGATCTCTCCCCAACCTTTGGTCTTTATGAGAAAAAGAAGTTCCCTTGAGTGGCGGAGCAATGGCAGCTCCATGTATTCAGCACATCTTAAGTTCATTTTGTAGATGAAGATGAATTAGTGCTTTCCTGTAAACTTGGCTAGGCGGATATTGCAAATCATCATTAAAACTTACTTTAAAATGATCTGGGGCTGGGTGCTGGTGGCTCACGCCTGTAATCCTAGCTACTCAGGAGGCTGAGATCTGAGGATCATGGTTCAAAGCCAGCTGGGGCAGGAAATTCTGAAATTCTTATCTCCAGTTGGCCACCAGAAAACTTTGAATGGTGGCTCAAAGTGGTAGAGCACTAGCCCTAAGCAGAAAAGCTTAGGGACAGTGCCCAGGCTTTGTTTAAAACCCCTTGCCCACCAAAAAAGAAAAAAAAAAAAAAAAAAGACTGGGCTGGGAATATAACTCCTTGGTAGATTTCTTCCCTAGCACGACGTTTGAATCCTAGGAAGTACTACAAAAGAGAAATAAAGATGGGTAGCAGATAGATGAAGAAACAGAAAATAAACTCAGAAAATGTGATGGGTTGAAGAAGTTACTCTGCCCTACATCATAAAGATTCTCAGCCAGGCTGATGGTTCAGGCCTTTAATCTTAGCCATTTGAGTAGAGTAGTACTCAGTATTTGAGTAGAGTCAGGAGGATCTGGAGTTCTGGGCCAGTTTGGGCAAAGTAACAGTGGAAGAGGGGAATAAAATGCCCCAAGGCCGGGTGCTGGTGGCTCATGCCTGTAATCCTAGCTACTCAGGAGGCTGAGATCTGAGGACCATGGTTCAAAGCCAGCCCAGGCAGGAAAGTCCGTGAGACTCCTATCTCCACTTAACTACCAGCAAGCCAGAAGTGGCACTGTGGCTCAAGTGGTAGAGCACTTGCCTTGAGCTGAAGAGCTGAGGGATAGCACCCTGGCTCAGAAGAAGTTCAAGCCTCACAATGGACCGAAAACATCAACAAAATGCCCCGACTCACCAGTGTTAAATTAACTTTGCTTGAATGTATATCCACGACTTTTAGGTGCCATTCCCGCTCTTCCTTTTGACTTTTGCTGTTGTCAGAGTGTGCTTCTTCCTTTATTTACAAAGCCACTTCGTTGTCTTCTTGGGGATAATTTCCTCCCATTACCAAGCATACAGATAAAAACAAAACAAAACAAAAAACTTATTGGAGGCTCAGATCTGAGGATCCCAGTTTGAAGTTAGTCTGAGCAGAAAATTCCAAGATTCTTATCTCCAATTAACCACCAAAAAGCCAGAAGTGGAGGTGTGGCTCCATTGGGCCACTAACCAGCCTTGTGCAGGCAAAAAGCAAGTGGTTAACACACAGGTCCTTTATTTAAGCCCCAGTACCAGCACAAACAAAAAAACAAAAATAGAACAACCCCAAACCTTCAGCATAGTGTAAATCCTATTACCCACCAAGTGTGAGCCCTCTGTTTTCATACTGTGTCTTATCTGCCCTCATTGTTCTTGTCTCCTGGGTTGGTCATTAGTACTTTTTAGTTATAAATTTTTTTCATCTGAATTTTTTTTTTCCAGTCCTGGGGCTTGAACAATAGGGCCTGGGTACTGTTCCTGAGCCTCTTCCTGCTCAAGGGTTAGGGCTCTACCACTTGAGCCACAGTGCTACTTCCAGCTTTTTCTGTGTAGTTTATTGGAGTTAAGAACCTCAGACTTTCCTGCCTGGGCTGGCTTCAAATCATCATCTTCAGATCTCAGACTCCTGAGAAGCTAGTAGCTAGGATTATAGGCGTGAGCCACTGACATCTGACCATCTGAATTACTATTTTTTCCTCTTTTGCTCCCATTTGGCTCCAGCAAATACCAAAATACTAGTTAAATGTTCAGAACCAAGGGGATA